GTCGAAAGACTCCCGTCGTCATCGGCACACAAACACTCGCTCTCGACGTCGACATTGCTCGAAAGTCGAATCAACAAATATTCGAAGCGAAGAAGTTTCTCGAGCGATCTCGACGACCGCACGAATTAACACTCTAATTCTGAACATACCGCCCGCCTCGTATACGCCGGATACGAAATACAGCAAAAGACGTGGCGAGATCGAATATACTCTCTCTTAGTCGCAGTGCGAGCTAAGGAACGCAAAGGGCGACAGTGATTGACGCTAGCCGAATAAAGAACTTTAAATGGCCTTATAGGTAGGGACGAAAACACAATAAAATAATTAACGCTAAATGTACAATACGTCTTAACTCGCTCTAGAAGTATGTATCTAATTAATGATATATTGAACGTTTTATACGTGATACGTACAAACTAAGCGCGCGATGCTGACAAGGATCGGCGCAAAACAAAACAAAAGAAAACGAACAAGAAGGAGAGAGGGCGATCAGTCGCTCTCTGACGCCGACGCTTTACAATTTACAGGCAACTTGTACAGTTGCGTTATAGGTCGCTTCAGTAGAGAACGCGCAGTTCGTATCGTAACCACCCGGACGAGTCCGTCGGACCCGGGATGAACCTGCTGGATTCTCGCGAGTTCCCATTTGCTCGGAGGGAGCAAAGGGTTCTTTACAATGACGAGATCACCGACTTCTAAATTTGGCACGGCGTCTCGCCACTTGGTTCTCGTCTGAAACGACAACAAATAATCATGCGACCAGGCACGCCAGAATTGCTCCCGCATGGAGCTCACTAGCTGCCAGCGGGAAAGGCGGTCCGGGTTGATCTCGAGCACGGACTCCTCCGGAAATGCGATTATCGGACGCCCTATCAAGAAGTGTCCGGGCGTGAGCGCGGACATGTCGCTGGGGTCGTCGCTGAGAGCAGCAATCGGACGCGAGTTCAAGCAGGCTTCTATTTGACACAGAAGCGTCGCGAATTCCGCCCGAGAAATCGTGCGAGCCCCGACGACTCGCTTTAAGTGAGCTTTGAAGCTCTTCACTCCGGCTTCCCACAGACCGCCAAAATGCGGAGCGGCCGATGGGACGAACTCCCATTCCACGCCGTCGGCGGCGAGAACATCTCGCATTTCGGGGTGATTCTTCAATGCGTGAAACTGCCGTTGCAGTTCGCGGTCGGCGCCGTGGAAATTGGTACCGTTATCACTGTACATTCGACGCGGCAACCCGCGGCG